ACTGGAGCTGTTTCATCATCTTGTAGCATTTTTATGTCTTCAAATGGCTCTGTGATAAGCCCAGAGAAATCACAAGTAAAAAGCCAGATGCCACAATGGTGTCTTTAATAAAAATACTCTCTTCAAAAAATCTTCTCCTTGGAAAATCCCAAGTGTTGCRAGCCTGTCAGCTGAGCAGTATTATCTTTTAATTAATTGTGTTTAGAGTGATGTAGGCAATTTCTTGAAAACATCAGGCAGTAGCTCCTTTCCAACACTCTTGAATTTGATCATCTTGACTCCAAACCTCCTAAAGCTCATATTCTTTTAACATGACTCCCCAAAGGCTTYTATTAGAACCCACTGTCAAGAGTCCCAGAAAATAARGTAGWAARACAAATACAGATTATTCTGTAAACYATCCCRTCTGCACTTATATCTTGYCATTATTTCTCTCTGTGTGCTAGGGCCAAATATGGAGTTRTAGTTTCTTGCTGATGTGGCCACASAGGTTTGGTCATTCCCAGCTAATTCTGGTGAGCATCCTTCAAATCCACTCCAAGCCAGCCTGTGCTCCTGCTGCCAGTCTTGGGTTGTTGAACCTGTGGCTCACGATCAAGTGCTTGGGGCAGAGCACAAACCTGCCCTTCAAACACTCTTCCACAACTCAAACTCCTTGGGGGAGAGTGTCATTTCACTTGGTATTTATGAGTAAGGTAATTTCCTGACCAGGAGCAGTGTTTGGTTATCTATTTTCCTTAAGCCTGCAGATAATAAGCCTGGGTGTATAATTCATTTTCCTTCCACGTTTCTTTCCTTCACTGATTAATTTCTTCAACTGATCTATTTAGAGTACAACATTAATATTGAAAATAGAATTATGAAGCCAGCAAAGGAAAAACACTTTATCCTTTTCTGGCAACACAAGCATGTGCTTGTGTCCAACACAGCCATAGATGAGAAATKAAGTTGAATTGGCATGAAATGTCTGAGATGTGACATATTTATATTATTAAAGAAATTTAGTATGTGTAATGCAAAAAAGAAATCCTAACAAATTTACTGATATCTAATGAGAATTACAGAACTAAAAAGAGAACAGGGAGTTGACAATGGAGGAAAACATCATAACTTTTAAGATTTCATATTCTGGCTTTATTATAATTTAAACATTTTTCCATTTAGCTTGTTACTTTTCAGTAACATATGTCATGGTACTGAWTTTCACAGAACAATAATGGAAAAAAATACTAGGTTTACAGAATATAAAAATTCTGAAAGGTTGGCTTGTCATATAAGCTATCCCAAAACCTTCATGTCTGAAAATCTTGGGATTCAAAGCAGTTTTACAGTGTGCAGTGACAAACTAATCTTTTTAAGGGTTTCAGTGTTTTATCTTAGGGGGGTTTTTTAAGTATTTGAAAAATCAGTCATTCACCATTAAGATAGTCTCATACAAACCTTGACATTTAGTTATTTAGCTGCTCTTTGTCTAATAAGACAAAGAAAAAGGGAAGAACCTTTAAAAATGTGATTTTAGAATTCCTCAGAGACAAGTTGTTTTCCATAACCTTTGCAAACATTTTATTTTGACAATGAAAAGAAGGAGTAATGTGAATTCTTGGTCTGTTGAAAGCCTTTTAAAAGTTTTCCCTGATCTTGATAAGGCTAGAAAGTTGTCCTTAATGCTGAAGAAAGAGAAGTAGGAAAATGAAATCCTCACCCCCACCTCTTAAAGAGATCCCAAGCATTTACTTCTTTACTTACTTTAAGAAGTAAGTAAATAGAATGTGGGTGYAGATAGAATGTGATGTCTGCATGCAGGAATTGGTTTTGATTTTTATTGAGAATGAAGATTTTAGCACAGTGAGACATGAGTTCACATTGTGAAACGTAAACAACTGCAAATCCCCCATTTTCTGAGGAATGCTGCCCTGGGCTGGACTGCGCCTTAGCAGAAGAAAAGGCACAGTGGAGGGGAACATCCCCAAAGATGTGGTCCTCAATAATCCCTGCAGTCTGGACCAGGAGATGCACATTAAGAGCATCCCAGCTGTGGCTCTTCCTGTTTACATCTTAAAAAGGCTTATCTAAATATGTAGCCAGGATAAATTCTTGCTTTGAATTTTAAGACCTTTTGTGCACAGATGCTCCAAATGAAGATCCTGCTTCTTTCACAAATTTATTTTCACTCTGCAAGCAATGACTGCTTGCTGCGATTATTGAAACCCTACCTTTTCCTCTGGCTTGGCTTTATCCAAGTCACATTTTATTTGTTCCCATAGCAAAGCAGGATGAATGCACTAAGGATGTACTTGCAATCAAAAAATTAAAATACAAATAAAATGTTGATGTACGTTTTCACCTGAAATGATCTGAAGTAGGCATTAGTATTGGGCAAAAGCTCAGAAAAATGTAAATGAGTCATGAACTTTTCTCCAAAGTCTCATTTAGGACTGTTTGCTGTGATATTTGCTCAGTTCCAACCTAGGTTGTTTTTTTGTTGTTTTTCTTTTTTTTCTTATTTTGAGTGAAGGCTTGACAAGGATATGAGTCCCCGATAACTAGAATGACAGTCCACACCACAGCTAGCAGCATTAGTAAAGAAACAATGCCTAAAGAGGCATTACATCATATGKAGTGGTAGCTGAGGTTTGGGGACAAGCAGAACTTGGCAGCAAGCTTTTGTTGGAAAATGGGTGAGGAGAATACAGCAGAGAGTGGCTGACATCTGTCCTAAGGAACCCACCCAGAGAGGGCACGCTTTACTCCATCAGGGAATTAAGTCAGAACTTTTCTCATGTTTGCCCCCAGTCTACAAATTTACACTGAGACAAAGGAACTGAAGAAATTATTAATTAAATCCATGTAATCCTCTGGCTATTGTAGCACAAATCCTTAATTTTCCTAGCTGCAGAATTTAAGAAACAGTCTCTGAGTTATCGTCAGCTTAGTCCATTGTCTAATGTATTGTGTGAAGAGCCTGATAGGTCAGTATGTGGCAGGTTGTCAAGAAGGACTTAATACAGCTGCAGGGGTTATCTGATCAAGTATTGTGTGATCCCTTCATGTCAAAAAAGTTTATTTTTTATTTTATTATCCATTGATTTTTCTCTTACTCAAAGTTATGTGATTAGAGGATTGGACTGAAAAAAAGAAGGATTTAAAAAAAATTGTTTCTTTCTTTGGTGAGGAAGATTATATCCCCCCGGGTTTCTGGGAGCTTCATTGGGATCTTGGTGGATTTATGACTTAAATTAAATAGGAATTAATTTTCCACTGATTAGCAAAGAATTTGCAACATGCAGCTCAGCCCTGTAATTGTGGAGCAATTGTATTCCAGTTGAAATCAATATGGATTTAGCCTAAGCTAAGGACACAGGTTTGGACTGTACATCATGTAACACTAATTCATTTCCAAACCCATGCAGGGATCAGCAAATTCAACGGTTCTTGAGTAATGTAGAAGGGGTGTTAAATCACAAGGTTAGAATTGAATTTGTAGTTGACATTGACTGGAATCAAGGACTTTGGAGTTGACTTKTCAATTTACAGGGAAAAGCAAAGTTGCATAGCAGAGGATACCACCTGTAAATCTCTGTGCTCCATCTGAACACCTGTGGTGAAAGATTTAGAGGAGTGAGTGGCAGTGACACCTTGAACATCTTCATTCCCTGAGCCTAGATTTTGGGATGAATCAGTGAGGCTGCTGGTGTTGGGTGAAAGCATCATTAAACACAAGTTGACCTTGGGCATTCAGGRATTATGAGAACACAAAGGTTTTGGGTAGTCCTGCTCCCTAGGTTGGAGTCTTGCTGTCTGACTAATGTAATCCCATGTTTCTGTCTGACCAGACAATTTCTACAGTTCCAGGGTTGTTGGGCTTTCATGCTTTGCTGCTATTCTGCTGTGTGTTACACTTGCATCAAGTAACTACAACTGCAATCATAGCTGTGCTTTATGAAATGTAGAGAAGTGATATAATACCTTTTTATTGGCAATACAATTCTGGCTGTTAAAATTCAGTCATACAGCATCCCAGGTGTTTGACTTTACCCTGCCAGTTTTGTTGCTTCCCAATTTGAGCATCTTGAACATGTGCTGAGGTGATAAACAGCCCGCTATAGGTCTTTGCTACTTCAGGATTTAAAGAGAACTTATCTTGCTGTATTTCCTCATGGAAGCTAAAATGTGTTGAGTGAGGGGTTCTGACAGTCAATTGAAGAGACCCCTCTGGAAACCTTAGGAAATGCATTCTCAGAAGATGGTGATGCATTTTCTGCAGACCATCATTGTTTTTCCAAGCTCTGACCGCAGACAGACTTTTCCCCAGATGTCATGTTAAGGTGACAGACAGCTTATGGTCATGCAACTGTTCCAAAAAAATCAGCGGTCCCTTCCCCAGGGCTCCCAGAGCAGGTCTGTGTTCCATGCCATATAGCTGACCCAGGGATTCCTGATGGCAAGGCAAGAATTCATCACCACCACAACCCCTGGCCAGTRGATTGTGACGAGTGAAGCAACTACACTGAAGTTGGGGTGTTTTACTGATGTGTTCTTTAGAAAATGCTCTGCAGATAGATGGGATGGTGGTGAGCTATCATGTGGTGACAAGGGGCTGAGCTGCCCACTGGAATTTGGAGTCCCAGCTCCTTTGTTTGCTCACCCTATGGTTTTTTGTGGGCTTGTGCATGGTGAGCCAAGGGTGTGAAGGATGTGCTGGTCCCTGATGCCAGACCCTGTTAGCTGAAGCACAGCCATTGGTTTACCCTCCAGGAGGATGGGATTGACATCAGGAGCTCCAGCAGGCTGAGATTGAGCTGGTGTTTTCTTCGACATTTTTTTCAGCAGGTATTTGAGCCGGAGGTGTCAGCAGACCTCAAAGTTCTGCATGGGCACAGTTGAAATCCAAGTGATRTAATGAGTGATCAGCAGCTCTGGTCACACAGAGGAAATGAACTGGGGCCGGATGTGGCTGGAGATTGTGTTTGGACTGATTGTTGTGGTTTCTTCCTCACTAGGACAAAGAAGTGAACCTGGAGCAGGTGCACAGGCGCATGAACAGTTTAATTGATGAAGACATAGCCCACAAGCAAATCTCACCGGCGTCCATCGAGATCTCAGCGCTGGAGATCGGTGGCATGCAGCCAGCCCAGACCCTGGAGCCGGTGCGCGAGTACCAGAACACGCAACTTTCTGTCAGCACCTTTTTACCCGAACAGACAACTCATGGTGCCAGCAGGACACTGACAGCTGCCTCGGGCAGCAACCTGCCACTGCCCCTGAGCAGCTCAGCCACCATGCCCTCCATACAGTGCAAACACAGGTCACCCAACGGAGGACTATTCCGGCAGAGCCCCGTCAAAACCCCCATCCCAATGTCATTCCAGTCCGTGCCGGGGGGAGTCATTCCAGAAGCGATGGAGCCCTCGCAYGGAACATCCATATGACGAAAACAAACAGTAAAACAACCAGCAGAGATTTTTAATACAAAATTTAAAAGAAACAAAAAAAAAGAAAAAAAAATTAAAAGAAACTCTTACGTTTTTCTTGTATATACTTGTAAATAATGAAAGAATGAAGTGGGGTAAAAGTGTATTTTGAATATTCCCAATTTTCGAAGTAAGTAAAAAACAAAACAAAAAACAAACAAAAATGTATGAATGACTTTGTAAATTTTGTTCTATATGAATAAAAAGGCAAACTACTTGTGGTCGTTCTCAAGTGCCAAAGAAGACCTGTTACTGGGACTGAGGGCCATACTTTTCTTTTTTTTCCATGGATTTCAACACTTATTCCTTTACAGGTATGGTTTTTTTAAGAGCAACAAGTTTATCTGTTTCTTGCTAGAAAAATACACCATGCTCAGATCTCTCCTTTCCCCAGAACCATATTTTATAGCCAAAATGACAATTCACTCAGAGAACTTAACAGCTGGTATTAGCATAGCAGTAAAAAATGCTTTAAAGGTGAATTATAACTGAAATCCAACAAACTATAAACACAAAGAGAACATTTTCATTCTAACAAGGATTTAAGCTTCCACGCAGTTTCTAAATCTAAGCACAGGATTATTGGGTTGTGTTTTTATGTGTCTGCTGTGCTGTGTGGCTCTTTTTTATTTAACTTTCTGTGTTTTGTTATACATATATATATAATATATATTATATATATTATGACGTATATATTATATATATAAATGCTTTGATGAACAACAGGTTTTAGGTTAAGGGGAAAGCTTTTAAGAAAAACTGCTCAGCTCTTTCTTTGTTTCTTCTGTACATGGCTGAAAATGGGGAGGAACCAATGGAGTGAGACAAGGAAGAACTGTAAGGGTGGGAGATAATGGCCCTGCAGTGGCTGTGCCCTCTGGGGCCATCTCTCTCTTTAAGATTTCACTGAATTTGTTGCATAATGGATGCAATGCTCCCTGTTGAAGTCATATCCCTGAATGACAAGACTATAAGCACAGCTCTGCTTTTTTCCATTGATTTTTGTAGAGAGAAATATTTTAACGGCCACGTCTAAAATCATGGTAGAAATGGCTGTTCAAAACTTTTTTTTGTTTGTCAATGAAACACAGAGGATAAAGATAGAGCAACATATATAGCTAATTTACGGTCTTGTCATGCAAATATTACCAGTTCAATTTAGTATGACAGAAAAAAAAACTCAAAAMCCAAAATCTAACACATTGTTTCCTTCCCAAACAGAAGTTTGAATACTAAACAAAATGGATCACTGTCCACCCCCATCCCCCCCCCCCCAACTCTTCATGGACCATCACTCTGTTTCAAAATTGGGATAATTTAGTTTCTTCTCAAACGTATCTCTAATACTTGGTTGTAATTTCCCTTTGTAGCTGGATTTCTTCACTTTATTAGAACATGGCTGTTTGGAAAAGGCTGTAGATCCTGGCGCAGCAAAATCACTGTTTACGTTAAGGTGAAAAATTCTGTTTGAACAGAGGTATAAAAACACATTGACATCCCAGGAAAGTCAGCAGGCAATCTGGGTCAGGTTTTTGGATAAATAAACATTCMATTCACTGCTCCTAATTTGATTTGCATAATTACACAACACATATATTTATGGGGTGATTAAAGTCCCCACATTTTTACATTTCTACTTTAAGCAGTAGGGAGGAAAAGTCAAACTGTGACATAAAACAGCCTTATGGAGGAGCATACTCAGCCTACTACTTTTTAAATGAGGAATATTGATGGTGAGTTTACAGGAGGAATACTCTTATAGGAATTAATTTGTCTCTGTTGTCAAGCTCGTTCCTCACAAAGACAGKGCGTTTTTGTAGCTTGGCACAAATTGCACTATTTGCTTCAAACTAATTAAAAATGAATAATAAAGCTGACTAGATTTATGCTATTTAGAGACTTGGCCCATAAAAACTTTGGATTTTATTTTTCTTCTTTTGTCACTTTTTTTTCTTTTTGTTGTCTTAACAAACCTATGGCTACAGGAAAAAAAAAAAAAAAGCCTTCCATAAATACACTGATTAGTTATGGCAGAAATAGCTGCACTAAAAGACTGCACATGCACAGGAATCTGTAAAGATGCTTTGGAGGAAGAGTGCAAGGATTTGCATTGGCAAGATTTTTTGTTTTATGGCCAATGTAAGATTTTAGCAGCAGCAGAAGAACATGCTGTGGAAGAGGTGCAGGGAGGTGGCTACAAGGGTACAATCTGTTGTGGCACACAAACCTGTTGGATGTTTCCCAAGCTGCTGCCCTGCTGTTCCTCACAAAACAAAACATGCTGCTGATCTGCTGCAGCAAAGCCCAGAGCAAGGGCTTGCAACTCTTTTACCCTCTTTTACTAAGGCATCTTTGCTCTCCATTAGATCTTTTTCATGTTATAGACTAAAACACTGTATGAGTAGTTTAAACTGACATGCGTTTGTGGAATAAATAGCAAATACGATGTATTTTGGGGATTAACTTTAACATTCTTCATATTCAGTGTTCTCCTGGCTTAATCTTCCTATGTGCTGTAAAGTTTGGAGGTGTGATTTAGTTAATAAGCGATGTTAGATCTCCCTTATTCTCATGCAYAGAACGTGACTCTCCTGTTTGAATGCTCTGCAGGGCTACAGCTAAGGTGATCAGGATCTCCAAGAGTCAAATCGAGCACCTGCTTAATGCACAGATGAAGTGCATTGCTGATTGATGGTGGAGTTAAAATGCATCTCAGATTAAATATGTGCCTAATTTTAAGCAGGTGAGTGAGCTTGCCAAACTCCCTGGGACTACTCAGCTGCTTTAAGTTAACCTTAAGTCTCGAGTGCTTTGCTGCACCAGGGCCTACACTGCAAAAGTAGGAATCTGCAATGGATCTCTCACTGTCTAGTAATTATTTGTTAATATAAAAGTATAAAGTCCTAGCTTGTGCCTGTCAGCCCTGACAGGAAGCTGTTCAATCCTTCATGTGCTAGTGGTTTGGTTTTAGATTATTTAAGCAACTCACCAGGTTCTCCTTGAACATCAAACAATGTTTCTTTCGCCATAACTTTCAGTTTCCAAAGTAAATGCAGAATGTATGATTTTCATATCCTGTCTCCTGTTTTATATTTGCATCTTCCTTTGACAGATCAAAGCATTCACTTTCTATATAATATTTATACACCATACACATGCATATATATACACATGCATATATATATACATGTGCAATTACAGAAGAAGTGAGAAAGATAATTTCCATGTGATGTAAATGAGCATAAGGTGAAAGCTCTTACAGAGCTGTGCTTATTTACACCACCTGCAGATTTGACCCTTCACCTTTAATATCTGGCAAGTTGGTACAGAAAAACTGCAAAAGTTTCTGAAAATTTTGAAGACCAAACTGTGCCCTTGATTTTCAAATTGAACTTCCCCTGAGTGTACTTGAAGTAGGGAATAATGTATGATCCCAAATATTCCAGCTCCTCTGGAATGTTTACATTGCAAAGGTGATTGTACATGAAATGTACCTTCCTTTTATTGTGCTCTTTTGATGATGAACATTCACAAAAGTGACATCTGTGGCACAGCACTTTTAGTGTGTCTTGTTCTATCAACCCATTAGTTTAGAAATTACTTTATTTTCTTACAAAAATGTGACTCAGTTTCTATTTGCTTGCAATCCACGGGCAATCCGCTTTCAATCTGAAGAATGCATTGCTCCTATTTCTTAGTATGTCATGTTTTCCTATTGCAACGGAAAAAAAAAGAGTAATTGTGCTTTTTAATTTCAGAGTTGAAACTTGATACAATGTTTTTATGCTGAGTTACAACTACATGTGTGCAATACTTGTCTCGCAAAGTGAAGTTCCCAGTATCTGCCTTGCTTTGATGACCATTGCTGCACTGTAGGTGAAGTCTCAGCAAAACAACTCACTTTTTCTTAGTCTGCTGATAGAATAAACCACTTAAAAATGGGTTCTCAACTGTGTAAAKCCGCTTCCCTCCAGGGAATGGGTCAAGCATGCTGAGTTTCAGCAGGTGAAGGTTTAGCTCTTAATACTGGGCTCAAGAGCACTGCTTTCTCTAAACTGGTATTCAGTGATAGCTTTGAAAAGGAAAAACGTCTCAAAAATTAACCAGAAAGAGGAACTTTATTAAAATTTTGAGCATGTTACATGGATTATAGTTTGAACTTTATGCTGGGATTGCTTAAGAAAAAAAATTATTCCTAAAATTTAGGAATAGCTCTCCTCTGAGATTTAAAGCTGTTGGGTTGGTGACAAGTGGAGCATTCAGAGGAAACGTTAGTGGGGCAGTACAGTAACCACAGTGTTCAGACCTTGTTATTTTATTTTATTTTATTTTGCTTTACTGACTTGAACTTAYATTGTGAGCAGTTAATGAGTGACATAAATCTAAACACAATACATTTGGGGGACCCTGTTGGAAATTTCTCAAAGAAACCACGTCCTTTGGCAACCCTGGGAAAGGCAAGGAAAAAGTCAGAAGAAAACTTTGAAGAAAAGCAAAGTTAAAGGTAAAAACTGACATGGTGAAGGGGGAGGGAGAAAAGGAGGGTTACAACTCATGTTTGGCAAAGCTGTGTTTACTTGTATGAGAAACCTCAATTCCATCATACAAGCAGTTGCCTCAGCTAATTATTATTTTTCTTAATTTTTAGGAAACAAATAAAAACAGCATTTGTTSTACCAGAAACAGTTGTTACATTATTTAAAGAGTTGAAATGACTTGTTTGGTGTTTTTTGGCTTGATCGTTGTCAGCTGGGGAGGATCGGCGTTAGTGAGGGATTCGCACCCGGAGCAGCTGCGGGCTGTTTGCGCTCCCGAGAGCTTTTTGGGGCTGCAGCTGGGACAAACCAGCCCCAATCAGCTCCTATCAGCTCCTCAGAAACCCTGAGTGCTCTGGGTGCGGCTCAGAGCTCGGGTTTTGTGTCCCCCGGCTGGACGTGGCTCCGCGCTCCTGTTCACCGAGGGGGATTTTTGTGCTGTTCGTATCGGAGGGAAGCGGGATAGAGACCTGGGTTCTCCAAGCAAGGTAACCAGCGAGAGAAGCGAGTGRTGGCTAAAGGTTCTACTTTTTACTCAGTTTTTTTTTTACCGAGATGTACCGTCGAAGTTATTAGAGGCATTTTTAATGTTTTGTTTGTTTGGTTTTTAACACTACGCGTTCAGAGGTACTACCTAATTACTTTCTTTTATCCCCACTGAAATTTCTTTGAAATCAGTTAATGCTGGTAGAAACTTGACGTCGTGTTGTAATAGAGCACAGCCATGAGAGAGTTGTTTTGTTTTGGCTCTCTCTTTTTTTTTTTTTATAAGTCTCTGTAAAAAGTGTTTT